TTTTTGGTTTTTCTCCGGTACCGGGAACCGAACTCACGACCTTGCGCTTGCCAGGCAGGCGCTTTTGCCGCTGAGCTAAATCCCCAGCCCCTTACGAAGGGCATTTGAGGGCTTGTTTTTATCTCCCCTAGCCTACTTAGCACTGAAGTCATGCTGAACCGGCAGAATGAATAGGAAAAAAATCTTGCCAGAAGGGACTGTAATCGCAGAAAAACTCAGCTGCTGTATATATCTGTGAGAGTTGTCACAGGGAGAAGCAGCCTTGGGAGCTTAGACCGATTTCCTTATTATCAAGTAGTTTTTAGAGTGATTTACTTTGACTCAGCATTTCGGATACAAGTAATTTATTTTCCAAGAGAAAGTAAGATTAGAAAAGAAGAAAAATGCATAGAGGAGAAATGCTACTTGAAAAACGGTGTTTTTGTCCAACATGTCATTCAGTGAATACCTTTGTTTATGTGGGTGGTAACTACCAGGTGCTTGCAGTAAAATTTAACACAGTGTTCTCTTTGATCACTAGATTCTTGAAGTGAAAAGTCCAATAAAGCAGAGCAAATCAGATAAGCAAATAAAGAATGGTGAATGCGACAAGGTAAGTTTCCAGGCCGTTCCCGTTTGTGCTGCAGCAGAGACAGGGCTTCTTCATTCCGGTGTGTTTCCCTTGATCACCCTTGCTGGCTTTCCTTCCATTTTCTTTATCAGAAATGTCCAAGATTCCTAAGCGACCAATACTTCATCCCTGTGACTTACAGTTTATCTTCCTTGTCTTGCTTCAGTATTATGGTTGGCCTTATGCTGCCCTTTGTCATCATGCCTACATTGCCAGGGGATTTAGGGGGACATTGAGTTGGGCGGTAAGATTATGGTAGAGGTAGCCAGTTAAGGAATGACTGGTGTAAGTGCATGAGATGTCTGAGCCTGGGGTGGCATGCTCTGCCAAGGTGTGTGTGATGTACCTGAAATCTGACCGGAAGACCTGGCGGGGTTGAAATCTTTCAGTGTGAACAGGGCCCTAGCGTGCTTTCCAGAGCTAGGGCAGACCTCTCTAATGCTTCACAAATCTTCCCCTTGCCTTAAGTGAACATGGTTGTTAGCAGTTATGCTAACAGAGACTCACGAGTCTGAGCATACTGAAGGAGAGGTGCCCCTCTACCCTTTCAGGGAGCTCTCCACAGGCCAGGTGCTAATTTGGATATTGAGTTTTGTTTTTCACATGGTACTATTCTAGTCTTTGGTCACTTGCTGGCATTGTTTACTAGCAGTGCTTGCTATGGCTGGGAAGTGTGCCCCCTTAAAAATTAGCCATCACATAATTGCTGAGATGCAGTGATACGTCCATGTTTAAACTTAGTCTTCTTTCTTAAAAACTTACTGAGATCAAAGAATTAAAAAATGAAACTCACATTTTAGTGCTGAAATTCCCCCCTACACCTTGTAGAGGCCTTGTTGTGGGAAGATGAGTCATTTACTCAGAGTTTGTTGAGAGCCAGCAGGTACAGAAATTCCCTTCCCATCCCCCTCTTAAAGCTAGCACGCTAAAGGAAAAGAGCCAGCCGAGAGAGAAATGGTGGAGGCATTTCAGCACCGAGTGCGTGCAACCAAGTTCTAGAAGTAGAATGATCCTGACCCTCACCCTCAGTCTCACCCTCATCTCCAACTACTGCTTATGTGTTCTTACTTACTTTCAACTGATCCTTAAAGTTCTTGTTTTTTCATGGGCTCTCTTGTCTTTCAGGCATACCTGGACGAGTTGGTAGAGCTGCACAGAAGGTTAATGACGCTAAGGGAGAGACACATTCTGCAGCAGGTGAGCGTCCTTTAGCAAACCTGTCCCAGAATCCTCTAGATCTGGTCTGGCTTTGGGTATCACAGTAGCACCTGGAGGACATGCAGCCTCACATAAGCAGAACAGAGCTCATGCCACCTGCAGAAATACTTGGAGAGGATTTTCATTTCCAAGGCCACCCAGAAATAACGCTTTGGAGCTCTGTGGTGGTTATCTACCTCTGCCAGTGTACAGGTGTCTTGGTGACTTTTCTCTCGCTGCTGGGACAAAATACTTTACGCCCAAAATGAAGGAAGGAAAGGTTTATTTTGTTTACAGTTTGTGGAGGTTTCAGTCCATACTTGGCAGATTACAAGGCAGAGTGGCACATGGCAGAGGGCTACAGCTCATGGCGGCAGAACACAGCAAAGCAACAAACACACACAAGGGAGGAAATGGCCAGAAGCACCCTCTTCCTCTCCCTTACATATGCAAACTATCCACCCCAGGGCGGGTGTAGCTCTCACACCCATAATCATCAAACTCTAAAAGCCTGCCCCATGGCCACATGAGGCTTTGGGGGGGACACCCAGACACAAACCATAACAACAGGTGATGAAAACGGAGCACTCTGGGAGGTGACACGAGAGCTGGTAATCCCTCATCCCGCTGATGTTGCAGTGCAGGCTGGGGGAGGGGACAGTGGGGAAGCAGAAACCTTCGGGATCAAACTCCTGGTTTCATGAGAAAACAGTGATAAGAACTTGAGTCAAGTGCTGTAAACATTGGTCATTCAGTTAAGTAACCTTTTGCCAATGCTATTCTAAGGAAAATAAATATTTTCTTCATTTCCCTTATCTTGTACAATGTACATTCTATTATTATGAACTCAACTGTGGAATGCTGTAGAGTGAGGAAACTTCTACTAGTATGAAGCCATGTTTTGAGAAGATAAGGCTGGTTTTTAGTTTTTGTACAGTTACAGTACGTACCTTTATTGCATTAACAGTGGCTGTTGGTAAAACAGTTTTTCACTAACACCCAAGATGGCTGTATGTCCCAAATTCCAGAGCAGCTTTGGAGAAAGTTTTACTTCTTGAGTTTTTTTGTTACTTTCAAATGACTTGAAATTAGTATGTCATCTACCCTGGCTGTGTGAATCAGTTTTTAATGTCTAATGGCTGGTGGTCACATTTATATTCTATGTACATTTCTGCCTAAATATGTAAATACACACTCTCAGACTTGCCGGGTTTCCAATTGGGCTGATAAGTTTTTAACCCTTCTAGAATGTTAGTTTTGAACAATAGACTTTGACTGTAGACTTGCGATTTGTAATTGTGGGTAAGTTGCACGGCTCACATCGCCTTTTGAGTGAGTATAGGCACAGGCACAGGGTCAGGAGTTGAGGAACTTCACCTCAGTCAGAGCTCGTATTTTGCAGGTTCAGGCATCTCTTTGCATCCACGGAGCGTGGTGCTAGGCCCCTTACAGATACCAAATTCCATGATGTTCGGCCTCCTTAGAAGATGGCATAGTGTTTGCATGTAAGCTATGGTCAACCTCCCATTCTTTAAATCTTTAGGTTACTTGTAATACCTAATGCACTGTAAATCTTTGTAGACCATTGTTCGATAGTTGTTTAGTGTGTCCCTTTACTGTGATTGGTTAATCTGAGGATGCAGAACCTGTAGATATGAAGGAACAACCACATTTCTCTTTCAGCTTTCTTTTACAGAACCAAAAATTGTTCTGCCTCCCATTTACCGGTTACTCAGGGCTAATAGAAGATTAGATGGTAGATCTGATCTTCCTACCCCTTCCCAAACACCAGCTCTGAACCACGGGGGGACAGTTGCCCAGTGAAGTCGTATATCCCCAGGCCGAGCCTAAATTGTGAGCTCGCAGGAAGGTGAGACAGGTGTTTGGGCAGCTGGGACACCTTCACGGTGAAAGCAGAGCCAGTGAGTCAAGGAGAGCCAAACGCTGAGCAGGGTTGCACCTTGGGATATCGTTAGCATTCATTATCATTAGCAATTTAATGTTGTCCTTTATTTTGACCTTTGGAAGAACTGTGAGGGAAGGTGGCTTACTTGAGAGTTCAATCCAAGTGGATTATTTTAGTATTCTAGAGGGAGAGAGTAATATCTATGAATTTTTAACCTGGTATAAAGGCACTCCAGGGCACACAGCATTTCACCCTAATTGCATTCCCAGGCCGATAGAAAGCTCTCAGTCTTTGGCCTTTTGCCTTGTAATGCAGCTGAGGCTTGTGATTATGATGCCATGATGCATGTCCTGTCACGGTTTACTGCTTAATTAATTCCTATTGTAAAACATAGCACTATTGAGTACTAATGTTATTCTCTACCTTGAGGACTGCTTGTCTCTTGGAATGCATTCTGCAAAGTCTACATAGTCTCCACCATGCAGACTTGAACACCGGAAGCAAAATGTCTGGTGGGCCCAGGATGACAGCTTTGATCCTTCTCTATTAAATGCATCCCTATCCAGAAATCTATCTGAAAATTTTATGTGACTCATAAGAAGTAGTTAGTAGCATTGTTTTACTCTGGGGCATGCTTTCCTGGCACTCATTTTCTAATTGAATGGACAGAAAGCAATGGCTCAAGAGAGCCTGAGTTCAAAGTCACTTTTTCATAGTGTATAAACACAGTACAGTGGACACAGGAAAAGCAAGAGGAGTACCTAGAACTGATCAATAATTTGATTCCACATGTTCCACATTTATTTGCAAAGTGAAGTTGAGTGTTTCTAACCTCCCCAGCAGGGAGCCTGGCTCTGCCTCCTAGTCCGGAAGAAAAAGAATGCTGACAATGTAACAGCCACTGTTGATTCATATTATTTTGTCTTGAGACTCTGTATCACTTTGAATGTTCTTGCTTTGATTTGTTTATGTTTGTGATACTGGTATGTTGCTACTGTTCTATTTCTTTGTTTCTCATTTACTGCTCTCTTTAAAATAAAAAAAAAGCTGAGAAAAATTAGGGTTTCTTTAGAGAACAGTTTATTAATTTAGATATCAGCTATTATTCTTTCAGAGCTATCTGAAAGGAATTGAGGGATTGAGGAATGAGTAACATACTGGAGTATTCCTCCTAAATACCGCCAAGAGCTCTCCCCAAGAAGTGTTCTGCTGTAAATGGTTTCCTCTACCTGAAATTACTTGTCATGTCCCAGCATACGCCAGGAGCCTATGGCTGGCCTTCTCAGCAGGGGAGGCACCCGTTCTCACACGGTGGCTAAGATTCCTAGCCACAGACAAGACTCTTCTACCAGACTGACTACTCTGTGTAGAAGCAGTTAAAGTGAAACTTGTTCAAGACCTCTGATTCAATGAAGAGGTAACTTTGGATGGAAGAATCTCTGGTGTTCTAAAATGTAGTCAGACTAAAACTAACATTTCTGCTTTTTTATAATTAAAAACCAGGGTTGAGGGAAAGAGCCACAGATTAACAAATTCTTCTCCTGATTAAAATAAAACACCCAGCAGCCTGTGCAGTACCCCTTAAGAGGCTGGTGTGACAGGAAATAGTCCATCACGAATGTTTCCACAACAGCCGTCGTCGTCGGAAGAATAAGTTAAACAGTGTACGCATTCTTCCTTTTCTGCTACCATAGGAACACTGTACCCTTACGTGCTTTTTTGTTTTTTTAAACAAAATTCTGAGTTTGTTAATATATATTATCATACAGTTGGCTGCATCAAAGGGCAGTTTAGCTTAAAGATCCCACTTGGCTCTATTCTGTAATTCCAAAATCCTGCAGCTTTTCATTCCATAAATCAGAATACTCTGATAGGCTGCACAGAAGAGCTGTGTTTCCTACTCAGAGAAGGGCTGAGTAAACTAAACCAGAAACAGAACAAAGGATTGGTGACTTCAAGTTCCTTTCGTAATAAGATGAAGGACAGGGAGGCAGAATAGTAGAAAAATAACTGATTGCTTACCACCAGGTTACTTCTGGTTACTTTCTATAAGCATCCTAGGATACAAAGGTTAAAACAGAGGGAAGTTCATCTTCACCTTACAAGCTTCATCTGCAGTTACTCTTGCATTGTCTTGGTGAACACTGTGATTGCATGATGATGTGGCATAATGACACCATGGTAATTTCACACTACATCAGCAGAGAGACTTTTCCTGTATAAAGGCAAAGTGAGTCCTTTAGGATAAGTGGATGTTTTCAGGCTTGTGGCCTGTATCATTGCGATAAAGTGTGTTAATGTTGTGTTTCTGATGTTCTAGCTGTCAGGATTCCTGGAAAGAGATGTCCATTTATTTTTTCCTTATGGAACTTTCACTTATTTCAGGACATGGGCACGTGCTCTAATAACCCAAATCAGTGCTGCTCCCTTTGGCAGGTAATCCCAAGTCCTCAGCTTGTGACACTGCTGCTGCTTCAGGACTCTCTCCATCTACCCTGGTGTGTTCTTACAGATTCTCATAAAAGTACAGGCTCATTTCGTTACATTTCTCAGCCATTTTTATCTCCGTGCACCTGTGGTGGCACCAGGGTTGGCCTGCTGGTGGTGGAGCAAGCAGGAGGCGGGGGTGGGAGCCCTGGAAATCTACAAGACGTGACTGTGCTGCTGACATGACTGGGTTGGAGAACTGTTTGTTTAAAATTAAATGGTTTTATTCTGGAAAGAACTTTTATTGCCCAGTTTCTATTTATTGTTAAGTAATTTGTGAGCAGCTATAGTGCGTCATAGGAAGGTATTTTCTTTAAAGGCTAAGTTCCCGGTCATTCGAACAAGGAAAATGCAGGGCTCTGTTTCTGTTACCCCCAAATTTCAGGGTCAGCCTGTTGTTTCACGTGCTCACCTTCTTCTGTTCTCTGGCTTCTTCCCTTCGCTCTGAAAACTTCTATTATAATTACTAAAAAAAAAATTCAGGTAGGTCTTTTTGGACTTTCTGTATTTTTCTTGCTTCATTTGCTTTAATGCTAATGAAACAGCTAACATTATAAGCAGGAAGGAGCGCCACCAGGTCTGCCAACCCGTGTGCTGTTCAGTTACCTCCCTCGTAGTTAAGGATAAACTTATATTTACAGCATATGGTAATTGTGATAATGGTGCCCTGATCTATGTAGTAATTTATAGTTTATAAAGAAGCTTTATTTACCATATCTTAGTTGATGCGCTATACTGCCTTATCTGATAAGTAGATCGCATAGATTTTATCCCCATTTAACCGAGAAAGGAACTGAGGCTCAGAGGTTATAGTCCAGTGCTGTCCAGATGGTAAGCAGAGTCAAAATTTGATACGCCAAGTTCAGGACTCTATTCTGAGTGCCTTGAGACTTGCCTCCTGTGAGCTAGTTGAGGAGAAGAGTCAAGCTCTGTTTTGCTTTTTTTTTTAAGAGATCAAAAAACCCCCAATAAAAACGATACAGAAACAGCTCTGAAGAGGATATTTGTTTCTATTTTGGAATTTACAGGTTTCTTTTTTTTTTTTTCTAAGTAGGTCCATAGCATTTGTACATAATGTAGCAAAACATAATTTACTGAGGAAAGCAGTCTGTATTCAATTAGTGGTAAATAATATAATATATTATATATGTGATTGCCATCAGAGGTTTGTATATGTGGACATAGGTGTGTGTTTGTGCCTCAGAATTGTGTTCCAGATTATCCAAAATTTTAAAGCTATAAACTAATAAAAACAAGTGAGTGCCCCTTTCAGTACGGTGTTGCTTGCCACCTTACCCATAACTGGGTGGAGCCCTTCCAGCAGCCCTTTGAAGCATGCTTAAAATGCTGGGTGCAGTCATTCAGGCCAGTAAGCCTCCTTCTCTGTTCCTCTTCGACACACAACGGTAGGCATGGGGTGCGTGACGTGCGGTCAGTTTGGTGGCTCCAGAGATGGTGCCAAGGGCATGGTCACTGTCTCTCAGCTCTGCCATCTCCCCGTCCTGCACTGCACTTGACAAGACCGATGGCTGCTAGACTTCCAGGACTGCACATTCAGCACAGGCGGAAGGGCAGAGCCGAAAGACGGTGCTCACTGTCCGTCACCTTCCCAGCAGTTTTCCTGAAAGCCAGTAACTTCTGGCAAGTAAGTTATAAATTACTGTGTCTGCTGACAAGGGGGCCGGGGAAGCAAGCTTCTTAGCTGAGCATGTTGCCACTCAGAAGTCAGCTCCTGCTGGCCAGAAGGAAGGAGAAGTGGGTATTAGGTCATCAGTTTGCAGTGTCTGTCGTGCTTCTGCCACTAGAGTGACTTGTGTTGTTATTAAAGCCATAGATATATCTCAGCAGTAATGCCAGAAATTGGATAAGGCAGTAACAGCTCAATCTGGAGTTGCACAGTTAATTGGATTAAGACTTTATATGTCTTTTATGAACCTCAGGAATAGAGAGCATATTTTTTCTTCAGAGCCACTGCCCCATAGGCAGTAGTTTGGAAAACTAATCATCACAAGAAAAAAAGTAAAAATTTCAGTTCTTCTGTTTTTCAACATGGCATTAAATAATCTAAAACGTCACTGAATTAATCATAATAATTAAAATTATTTTTAGGATTCTGTAAGCTAAAGAGGTTGAGAACCAAGGGGTAGAAGGGAATAATGGAAAGTAAGAAGTGGGAGTTCGCCCAGTGTCCCCTCTACATTCTTCCTCCCGTCCCGGTCCCCGCTGTCCTCCCTCTCTCACAAAGCTTGCTGCGGTCAGGCGCCAGCTCTCTGCTGTACCCACAGCACACCTGCTTAACATGCCACTGCAGGTGCAGCATCCGCCTATGATAGAGTATTAGAAACAGAAGAATGGAAAGACACGTTATTCAGTGAGAAAACCTGTCCAGCCAGTGACCAGGACCCTTGTTCACACTGACATCTCAGGTGTGTTCTCCCGAAAGCCCAGGAAAGAGCGCAGCGCCTGTCACTGTTGCCGTTTAGCCCATCACTTTTCTGAAGGTGGAAGCCAGGGCAAGAAGAAGTGAGGTTTAACTGTTCCAAGTGAGGAAACAGATACTTTTTCCTTTTCTAGATAAAATGTATCTCCCCAGAATACCCAAGAGAAACAATGTGGCATTAAATAACCTAGTGCCATTTGAGTAGACACAACACTAAGTAGTAAATGAAGATGTTCATATTCATCTTTGTAGAAGTCTAACAAGGTGCATAGCTAGGTGAATCTTCCCAGAGGGTATGCAGCTTATGTAAGCAGCACCCTGCTCCGACAGAACAGTCCATGTCCCAGAGGCTACCTCAAGCCCCAGCACTCACGTCCATGTCCTCAGGAGGAGTATAGATGGCTTCTGTGTGTGTATGTGGTTCCCTGCATTCTAAATTTTCAATAGTTTTATCATCAGAAAGATGATCTTTTTTTATATAAGCTTATATTATTTTTTACAAAGAGTTTTGTTATTTCTAAGCTGATGTTTCCTTACATCTCTTAAGTACAGTCACTGTCTGTCGAGTCAGTAACTAATTTTTTGGAAGGGGTCTTGAAATATTATCTCCCCTAACCAGCTAAGCAAAATATTCTGTTGATGACTTGAAAGCAGGAATTTTGCAAAAGAGAAGGGGACTGAGAGATGAGGGAGGAGAACAAGAGGGAAGGAAAAAGGTACAAAAAATAATTAAGTGTATTGTATACATGGAACAAGTCCCTGTGATGAGAGTAGTCATTGTGTACTACAAACTCGCACTAATTGAAAAGTCAAAAGTATTGTAAAAATAAACCATGAGTCAGTTTATAGGGTCTGCAGAGGGGGAACTGATCAGCTGTTCTCTTTGGGAATTTTTCAGCGACTTTCCTTTGACTTGGCAAGTTAGCTGAGAGACAGTTTGGTACTGTTATAGGGCTTTCCTGCTCTAAGTAATGTTTATCTCTCGGTTCTGTATCTGACCTCTTACGTCTGCCTTTGCCTTTTGTTGCCTGTTGCTTATCGCCCAAACTTTCTCCTTTACTCCTTCAGATTGTGAACCTTATAGAAGAAACTGGACACTTTCACATCACAAACACAACATTTGATTTTGATCTTTGCTCACTGGACAAAACTACAGTCCGTAAACTACAGAGTTACCTGGAAACATCTGGAACGTCCTGAGGAGACAACAACTGGATGCATCATAAACTATTGTTTTGGGTTTTTTTTTTTTGGTTGTGATTTTTTTTTGTTGTTTATATGAAAACACTCAGAATGATGCAACCAAAAGGGAAAAAATAAAAATCAGACAACTTTCAGCTTTATTTTTCTTTAAAGCCAGTCATCATCTCTTGATAAAGGAGAGGTTAAGCAAACCAGCCTCAGCGGACCACTCTTCTCTCCAAGGACATCCTGGGAAGAGTTAGCCTGGATAGCCTTGAAAACAAACAGAGCAAACAAAACACAGGAACACTTCAAGAATGTGTGTGGCATCGTGTCTCTGTGGTGGCTCACCCACAGGACGAGTGCATATCCAACACACCGCCTTATTACATAACTGATCTATTTATTACCGCATACAGACACCCTAGAGTCTGAGGGAGTGACACCACCAGACGCTCCAGCCCTTGGTCGCGCGGATGCCCTGTCAGTGCAGCGCCCTTGCCATCCCACGCCCGGTGACCTTACTCTGTACGGTGTCGCTCTCCGCCAACTTGTTCCAAGTCCTTCAATGTGTTGCGGTCTGTATTTTCCACCTTTTGTTTTCCCCGGTCAGATACAAATTACCAACTAGGGGAGGGAGGACCAAGTAGCCACCTCGATTTTCTTCTTCTTTGGGGTCTTTTTTTCCTGAAAGTTGGGGCTCAGTCTTTGGCTGTCTCCATGTAATGATCTTGGACCATGGTAGAAAATGCACCAAATAGGATCATATGAATTGCTGTCTAGCCTTAGTCAATAAACCTGTAGGACTTTTAACAAAAGTGTACCTGTAAATGTCCTGAATCCAGCATTGTTAAGCTGTCATCAACATTCTTGTCAATGTTTTACTGTTGTAATGTTAGGTAAAATAGAAGTAAAAGCACTCCACGGGATCAGCATTTTAAAAAAAGGAATTCCAATCCTATTTTCTAAAGAAATTTTAGAGAGTTTCAGATCTCTGCAGCTGCCAGTGTAGTACTCATCTTTACCTTAAAACCGGGAATCAGAGGTTTTTGTTTGTTCAAAAATGATTCTCTTAAACTCTTCTGTATTCAAAAAATTAAAACCTTTCTTTGAGGATAATTCTGCCATCACAGATTATGCATTAACTTTTAGATTCAGTGGTTTGGTACCTGTTAGTCACTTGCTAATGTTTCCTTAAGGATTTCCCGTATTGGTGAAAGTAAAGATGACTGGGGAGGGGAAACGTTTTTGTTCTTATTGTACCCTTGTTTTCACACTAGAAATCTGTCCTGTGGCATGCAAAACAAAGCAAATTATTTTTAAAAGAAAAAGATCACCAAAGTACTTTTGGTGTCATTATTCTACCCTCTCCACACAAGGAGAAATGAAAAGTGAGACAGCTCATCTTCCAAGTTTTTCTAGGAACTCACCTGGAAAGAAAAGAAATGAAGAAATACTTCTGGATCCAAATGTTCATCACTGGGTCGGCCTTAAGAAAGTCTCTCTCTGCTAATTGACCAGCGTCTCCCTCCTGTGTTCCCATGCCGGGTGCTGGCCTTTCATTCAGAGATTAACTAGTGTCTGTACAGAAAATGGTCTTTCCAGACCCATTCTTTTGGGTAGTAATGTAAATGCAGATTGCTAATGAAGTGATCTCTGCATTTTAAAAAGGGGATTTTTTACACTGTTTCTTTCTATCCAAAGAAACTTTTTTTCCTTTAAAAGATTATAATACAGCCATGCTCCTTGTAAATTACTTCTCAGAAGTGTCCTCCCAGAGGGCAAGTGTACTTTTTCAAGAATGTTATGATTCTTTATCATGATTGGCATGAACCGTACTTGAAGCATTTGTTGTACAGTCAGTTTCTTAATGTGCAATTACAGAGATACTTTCCAAGTCATTTTGGACATCAGGTGATTAATGAATTGTGTGGTTTTAGTTGTGTTTTGATTTTCAACTTTACAGGTAAAAGGGGAAGGCAGTGTTTGTATGAAAATATTTGCTAAATTATTCAAACCTCATTTAAATTTTCTAATTGCTAATCCACATAGTCTCATTAATCCAGAAATTTATGTGGTTTAATATATCTCTGTAGTTTAACTAGAATCATGTGTATATAGTTTGGACTATTTTTATTTTTGTAACTAAATTGATAGCAAACCTATGATTTGGAAATACGAATTTTTTTTTTGTTCCTTAAATTACTAACCAAGAAACTAAGTCAGATAAGAAATGACACCTCCCCCACCACCACCAAAAGAAAAAATGAGAAAGGCAGCTATTACAATGATAAACTTTAGACATGAAAATTAGATAATAATGTAGAGGTCTTCAGAACACCATAAAATGTGATTTTTAGATTGATAACAAAATTCAGAAAAACTTCTTAATCTATTTCTTACCCAGATAGTAAAATTAGTTTCCTATAAAATTCTGATAGCAGAAGAGTTGTGGTGATACTTTTGAAGTAGTGGCACTCTTGCTCTTGCCATGTAATCTTTAATGCAGAAGTAATAAGTCCACCTTTAATTAATCTCAAGGAGTTATAACACATCTCTTAAAAGTACCGTACTCAGTTCTGCCACATTTAAATACACCCAGCTTTGAACTGTGCAGAATTTTTTTGACACATGTCTACACTAATAGTGGCTTTGGTTTTTTTTAAGCACAAAGGGGAAATGGCAGGGTTTAATTTCTTTGGGGTGTGTGTGTATATATATGTGTGTGTGTGTGTGTGTGTGTGTGTGTTTCAAATAAAATTAATTGGGTGAATGTGAATATGGTTTTAACCAGCCAGAGTATGATAAACTGTCTTTAAATTTCTCCCCTGTGATTTGAGGGGAAAAAATGTATGTATAGAACTCCCCTTGCCTTATAATTAGCTTTTGCTTCAGTTTTGCAGCGGGACGTATTTGAAGGGAGTCCTGTTTTAGGATATACCAGTCATTAGCAACAAAAATGTTTGCAGCTATTTCGTATCTTCACGGTGACCTGCCCCTCTTTATGTAGACAAACAGGTCTTCCCATCACTGCTTGCATGTTATGTCAGAGTAGGAAAGAACATAAAAACTATAGATCAGGAGACAAGAACTTTAGGAAGTAAGCCTCACAAGAGAATGTCCTAAACATTTTAAAATTGCTAAGCAAATCTCTGAATAATGACTCACCTTTGTGTGGAAGAGGCCAGTACAGTTGGTTTTCTTCCATTAAAGTGTTTTCCACAAAAAAGTTTTTGCCGGTATCTTTTACAAACCCACCTAACGGTTTAATAAATGAAGCCTGTGTAACATCCCAGTTACCATTTCAAGCCCACAAATGTTGTTAATATTCCTGTTTAAGAGAGACTTTACGCCTACGTGTTTTAACTCTACCTGTGTTTAATGGAGCTGGATGTTCAGTGTTGGAAGTGGTCAATGTCTGTGTTGGTGGCTTGTGTTCATTTTGCTCACTGTGGAAATGGTCAACCGGAGTAATCTGCTGTATGCTTATTACCTTCCATCTTTAGCGTTTTGTGTACTAATGCTATGTACTGCTCCTATATTTATATATATATATATACACACATATATATCTACACTTATATTATCAAAGTACTCTTGCTTTGGACTGTTGCTCTTAAACTTTCACTATGATGTAGAGACCACTACAGCTGCAGTGAATGTTGAGGTATCGATTCCTGTGGTTTAGGTTAGTCTTGGGCTGGAAGTCCCCATCTTTGGACCTCTTCTGTTTTATATGATGCTTTTTGTTATGTAGGCACTGCCATCCCTGAATATTCCTTGTAAAGATGCATTGAAGCAGTCAACTTAAAAGGAAGACAAAGCCACCACTGTCTGTAAACTGTAAATATGTATTTTGGCACTTGTACTCCAGCATCTGAAAACACAGGATGATGGAAATGCTGACGGAACCTAACGGCGGCCAGCGCTGCCATGCAGTGCAAAAATAAATGAAGTAAAAATGTATTCTCGAGAGTAACAGCGCAAGGCCAGTACGTTTTATAACTCTGTCAGTATCTTTTTAATGGAGTGTGTATGTGTAGTTACGTTGAAAGATACAATGTGTATGTGTGTGTGTATATTCTTTCATGTGACCTACAAGGCACACATAAGATGTGTTTCCCACCTCTAAAAACCGTGTTGAAATGAAAGTACAGATTGACAGAAATAGGCTTTGTACTTAAATCCATACCTAATCTATTATGGCTCCACTTTTTTAAAAACCAAGGTGTCATCTTACTGACTTGCTGACTGGCCTGGTTTCATTTTGCGTACAGGAAGAATGAGCTCTTAACTCTTCCTCGTGAAGTGACACTGTTCCTAAAGAAGAAGGAAGAGAGGAATCCAAGGCATCTGGAGACTGACGTGCACGTCAGACCAGCTGGAGGCAGAGTCCCTGCTGCCTTCATCTTTGGGGCCCCTGTGTTAGCACCATTTTCTGTATCTAAAGCCAGTATTTTTGGAAAGCTCTGAACAGGTTGTGCAGGAAATGGTGAGACACATTCTTGGAAAGAGCGGGATTATTTGTGTGTGATACTTTTTCACCTATTTCTTTGGGAGGTTTTGCTCGTAAATGAAATGCTGCTGCGGCTGGTCTTACCAAAGGCCGGCGTTCGCTCCAGCACCACGGATGCTACTTTGATTAGAGGGAGGAGAAGGACTGCTACAACAGAGAGTACCGTGCTGGGGTCTGGCAGCCAGCCAGGGATTGAAGGTTGTGCTGTCATCAGGAGGCTTGCATGGAGTCTCAGGAACTCTGTGGCCCTTGGAACGAGACACCGAGGGGATGATGGTGGGCTGCCTTATCTCTTAGCAACTAGAAGTGGCCCTGAGGTGTGGGCGCATCAGTGCCAGATGGGCTGGTTCGCAGTCAGTCTTTGCAGTGACCACACTTGAATTGCACTGACCTTTTCCCTTGGTTCCACAGTAACATTCACTGGTTTATTTGAATTACGGCGTTGCATCATCTCCCCTGTGGAGAGGAGTCCAAACAGGCGCTGTGGACCTGCAGGCGATACCCTGGGCTGCCATCCCTGGCGCGCTCCCCGGCAGCTTTTCTCAGTGCATGCGTTCCACTGTCACAGAGCGGTGTCCTCACTGGGATATGCAAGGAAACCCAGAGAGGCGTGGCAGATCAAGGCCCAATATCCAGACCTTTGCAGTTGGGAATTCGTCCCAAACTAGTGCTCTTGTTTCTGTCTGATTAGTGGAGCAGCTATGGGTATTTTACTGGTTTTCTTGGCCAGAATACCACCCAAATAGAAAATACCAAGCACATTTCAATGTTTATGTTTTCTCTGCTAGGTAATAGTATCCACACCTTCCTGTTTATGTGGTCTCCTTCTTTAAAGGCATTTCCAGTCTTTTCCAAAGGTTGTTAAAGTGCCCTTGGCTTTTGGCTTTGCCTCTCGGTCTTAATTTCTCCTTAATGAAAGAATGGTGACCAGTGCGGTTCCCAAGAGCTGGCTAGGTAAATACAAGGCGCAGACAGAAGTCACGCCGGTAGTTGTAACTGGGCCCTGTGACTACTAAGTGACGGCAGACACAACCCACCCCTGAATGGGAAGGCTCCTTGCGTCCACTTTTATAACCACGGGGTGATTAGTGGGGCCCTGGGCAATCTGCGCAGGAGAGGTGGTCGTGAGCAGCTGGAGACAGAAGGGCAGTGTGGACAGCGCCGCTGCTGGTTCTCCCCTGCGGCCATGTGTCTTCCGTCCCGCCCCCACCAGGGTTCTGAAGTTTCAGAAGGGTAGGAAAGGATAAATCCAGGCCATTAAAAAAAAATAAAGCTATTGCAAAGATAAAACAAATGAGTCGCTCTAAAAGGGCCGTCTGTGCAAGTAATAAGGTTGAAATACTGATGCTGGTTTCCTAGCCGAGCAGCATTCCTCGCACATGTGGTTTGTGTATCCGTGTCGGGTGGGTGGTCTGGGAGAAGTGCTAAACGCAGCAAGATGGCTTAGTTTCTAAGCACTGGAGGGAGGCTGGGGACAGGCCCCGCCTGCTGCATCTGCAATCCCTGCAACATAAAGAGGCTTTCCTTCTGCTTTGTTCCAGAAAGGAAAGTTTCATCTTGCGTATTCTTTTAAGTGCGAGGCTCTATTCTGCGCAGAATCCATCAAAGGGCAGGAGAGTGCGTGTGTGTGCGTGTGTGTGTGTGTGTGTGTGTGTGTAAGCACCTCCTTGCCCCTCGTCCCAGTCTTAGAGGTGGGATGTGGCATAAAATGTAAACGCCCTCCATTTGTTCTTATGTATTCTTTGGGTCCTAGGCAACTATAGACATCTGTTGAAAGCATAACTTTTAAATAACACCCAATCCAGATAGGAGAGGGAATAGTATGAAATTTTGCATAGATACATATTCTGATTATAGTCCACATACAGAAGCCAAAGGAAGTGGACTCCTCCCTACCTGCCAACCCCAAATCCCATTTATACTGATGACGATGCCACATGGTCATTCTGTTAAAGCGGGAGAACTGTTAGGGGAATTGTCGTCTGGAAAACAAGATTCCCGCTGACAGCTTTTGACAGATATGAATTATACCCGCTCACAGACAGAGACAAGTTGCTTCACGAATGTCCTTCTGAACTCCTAGGGTTTTGCTCTGCGTCCCCCACTAGAACCAAAGCAGCTTGAGGGCTGGGACATCGTTGTTCATGGCTGGTGCTCAGGCCGAGAGCATCCCAGGCACACTGAGTTCTTGCTGTTTATCACATGAAAGTGTGAGGGGTGTTGGGGAACACCAAGTCTTACAGTTCATGAAAAAAAAAGCTTTGTGTTTAAGGAAGTTTGGGAAAACTGCTCAGTCTGTGCCTCTCAGGGAAGCTCGATGTGCTGATCTTTAGGTCCCGGGAAGCCCTGCATTCTGACAGTTGCTGAACTTGTTAACTGGAATGCAGTGTTTCCACAATTGTCCATGACAAATTTGCATAGGTTGACAATACATGTTTTGCTTTTAAGAAAAAATTCCTTGATCAAACTAGTTTTATATTTTATTCTTTAAGGTTTACAACACAGCTTGGAATGGTCAAGGTTGAGAGAAGGACAATGCAGCTATTGCTGTCCTCAGAAGAGATTTTCTGGGTTAGGTGACTGTTTAACCTACTGTCCAAGCTGGATTTGTGTGTGTGGAGGGGGTACTGGGGCTCAAGCCCAGGAATACCCCACCTCCAGCCATTTTTAAATTTTGCAACAGAGTCTCACTAAGTTCCCCAGACCAGCCTTGAATTTGTGATACTCCTGCCTCAGCCTCCCAAGAAGCTGGAAATCAGAGGCATGCATCACCACACCCTGGCACTGGAATATTTTTGAGAATAAAGTAGGCCACTAATACTAATTGTCCCAAGACAACATGAGTAGGCCACAGTTGACTTTGGCAAACAAGGACATGGTCACCCCAGTTTCAAGGAAAACCCTTTCAACATGCTTGGGAAAAAAAAATACACCATTAGACTTCTTTCTATCACTTTGGCATGCATATGATAAAAGGTTTAATTGGGCTTTGTAGGGAAGACAATAATAACTCTCATTGTAAAATCCGTGGCTGAAATCCCTGTAACAAAGACTAACAAAAGAAAAGCATGGCAGATTTACGTAATCAGTTTTGTGTGACATGGCATCCTTCAGAAATGACCCACAGACCCAGGGAAAAAATATTTTTATGCCTACACTTATGGAGAATGGACAGTTATGTAGAAGTGGGATTGGACAGAAATGAGGGTTTGACCCAATGACAGTGAACTGAGGGGAACTCAGCCAGGTCCTTTGGCCCAGATTCCTCTTGTCCTCCAGGCATATGGCAGGACCCTCCGAAAGGAGGGCATTGGGATTTACTTCGAGCAAGACAGGTCAGAGAATTGATTATGATCTGCTGCAGGGAAAATAGCAAGGGGAAGGTCAAAGTGACCTTTTCGCTACTGCCGTATCTCAGTTTCCTTCGGTTTGGAACACTTGGTATGCCACAGTCATGGTTGGGGGTGTCATTCGGAGCCCCAGTACCTCCCCTTTTTAGTAAAAAATGTCCCCCAACAGTAGAGGCACCCCTCAGAGCTCAGGTTTAAGGGCCATTTGATGGGGTCTCTGGCAATCCCGTATTTCTCCACCCTGTGGGCCTGTTATGTAGACAGTGCAGCCTTCCATGAGCAAGCAGGGCCCATTCTCTATTTTGACTCCCAGAGCCTGGTACGTGTTGGGTCTGTAAAGGTCTCCCTCTCACCTGGCACCTCTGCTTGAGCTGTTACCACTTCACTGTCACCTGTTAAAAGTCACTGCTGCTGCTGCTGTTTCCTGGGAGTTGGTGTGTCTTGGTTACTTTTCTCTCGTTGCTGAGACAAAATACCCAACTCCCAAAATGAAGGAAGGAAAGGTTTATTTAGCTCACAGTCTGTGGAGGTTTCAGTCCATACTTGGCTGGCTCCGAGGCAGAAGATAGCAAAGCAACAAGAGCAAAGGGGGGAATGGCAGCTGAACAGCAAACAGCCAGAGCAAACGGGGGAATGGCGGCAAGCAGCTTCTTTCTTGCCTTACATCGTAAACAGGCTACCCCCACCTAAGGGGCTGTAGCTCTCACATAATCTCCATGCCCTCCTCTTCCACAGGCTCAGGATGTATACAAAGTAAGCACCCTGGCTTCCTGCTGAGTCACTTAGCCAAACCTCTAGACTCCCCAAGTTGACACAATGTTTCAACCATAACATGGTGTCTCCCCTAAACGTCACTGGAGTTACTTGGGTGCAGGTTCTGTCACTGTTAGAGCATGTTCTGGGATTCTGCTGCTCTCCATTCCGTCCCCGATACCTTTCAAGATTTTAGTGGTTCCTAGTTGCATGGGCACAATTTTAGTGTAGGACAAATGCTCAAAATACATTGAAGCAGTGAATGAATGTCAGTGAATAGATCCTTCCTTGGCTTACCAGTAAGTTGCTACATTGATGACATTTGCTGCTCCTCCTTTCCCCCAAAT